CCGCCCCCTCCCCCTCAGCCCCGCGCCGCCCGCCCGGAAGCGGAAGTTACTCCCGGTCCCGAAGCGCCGGCGTGGAGGATGCAAAGGAGGCGGCAGTGGCGGAAAGGGAGAGGAAGTGCGCCTGCGCACTCTGTGGGGGCGTGCGGTCGGGAAAAGCCGAGGCGGTTTCCGGTAGATTAAGCGGCGGCGAGCGCGCCTGCGCCCTGTGCGTCCGCTGCTTCCTAGGGCCCCGTCCGCGTGAACTGGACGTCCGGTGGAGGCACACCCCGGGCTCGGGTCCCACGCTCCAGCCCCGCCCCCTGAAAATCTGTTCCCTTCGCTCCACCTCCGCAGTTTCTCCTTCCCTCTCTCCAAGCTCCCCATTCTCTGGAATTCAACCCTTCCTTCCAGGCCACGCCCCTTAAACCCTACCTGTCAAGCTACTTAGAAACTTGCCCCTCCTCTCACACTTCAACTCCGCCTCCCGCCATTTAAACTCCCTCTCGCCTAACTTGCGGGCGGTACGGGTGATTCTGCCTCGCGCCTCTAAAGCTTTCCTTACGTCAGCCCTTTCGGAATATGGTCCCAAACCAGTTTCCATAACCGTTTCTTCCATCTCACCTCCACCGCAAGGAGCTGAACCCCGCCTTCAGAGCTCCTACTGACCTCTGCCTTCTGCGGGCACCTCTTTCCTTCCCTCCCCAGGAGCGGAGCAGCAGTCACGCCCGTCCCTGCACAAGGGCACCTTCTTCTGACAGTCAGCCAAGCCCTCCTGGTCCCGGCCTTTCCTGCCTTCCTCCTTCAGTCCAGCCCCATCCATTCCCTCTAACTCCCTGTCTGCCGGCCTTACCTCTTTCCAAGCCCTGTCGGTCTCACCTATCCAGAAAGACGCCAGCACTCTGGCTCAGCTGCCGCCTGTGCAGGGCTCTAAACCCACTGCCCCCCGCCCCCAATGTGTTTTCTGTTTTCGTGCCGGGGACGGAACACACTACCACTGAGCTCCACCTTTCCTTGACTCCGCTTTCCTTGCAAAGACTGGGTCTTTCCCACAAGGACTGAGACATCAGTGGAGTTTCGGGGGATCGGCTGGGGGGCAGGGGGTGCGTGTTTGCAGAGCAGGGGCAGTGCTTTACACAAAGAATGGCTATTTATTGGGAGCGCTTGGAGGTCTAGCGGGGGTGAGCTGGCGAGCGGCACCATCAGGACACACACGGGGCCAGCAGGCAGGATTTATTCCCACGGCCTGTGCCTCCACGGGCCTGTGAGTCCGCGGGACTGTGCCAGGACGCAGCAGCTCCTGGACACGTAGGTCCCCGCCCTCGACCCCTCCCACGGC